TAGGTTCAAGAATGAAAGAAGAATGAATTTTGGTCAAGATGGGATGAGATTATGGTGTTTGGATTAAGTGAGAGCCAGGCTGGCCCGGGTAGAGAGCCGCGGGCCACCCGCGCATGGGGAAGGAACCTCGCCCATCTGGCGTGGGTAAGCTCGCACGGGCTCGTGTACCCGCTCATCCCAAGGCCAAGATCCAGACGTCCATCTTGCACAGGTTCACTGGCGTGGGTGCTAGTACCCGCTCATCCAAGGAGCAGACCCATCAACCATCTGGCGCGGGTAGGAACCTCGACCATTACGCGGGCCGCATTTCCCTTCTTTTCTTATGTCCTTTTGGTCTTTTTACATTAAAAATCCTTGTGTCTCCTTAAACCATATAAATACCTTGTAATCCCCTTTGGGAATGATATCTTCTTTTCTCTAAACAAAACACATTTAGGAAAGTTGAATCCTTGATTAATCTAGTCTTTATTTCTTGAGTAATTGAATCTATCTTATCTTTTAATCATGATTAGTCTTCTATCCATCATGGGTTTAGAATTAAACATGAAGATTAGTGAGTAGATTCTCTTTTAAGCTTATGGATTAGGGTGATTAAGGTAATTAAGTGATGATCTAGGGTGATTAGTGTTAGATCCTTCTTATTCTATGCTTATTACTTGTTAAATCCTTCTTATTCTATGCTTATTACTAGATTATAGATAACCCTTCTATTCTAGATCATTAGACATTTCCTGCCCACAATGTGTTTGTGAAAATGTCTGAACCAAAGTATTAATATTTTTTGCTTGCTTAACCAAGGACACTTGATACTAGGGATGCTTAGATGGTTATTAGACTTGTTATCAATGCTTGCTTGATTGATTTAGAACAAGGACACTTGATGTTTAAAAATTGATAACAAATGAGCTTTTACCTTGACAAAGGTCTAGCTTAGGATTGTGTCTAGACCTATAGGATATGATTGATTGTTTGAAACTTCACCCTAGAGAATAGCTAGAATTCAAAACTTCACCCAAAATTAATACCCTTATCCATATGCTCTTTTATTCAAAGCTTAGTTATTATAGTTTACTTACATTGCTAGTTACATTGTTACATATAAAACAAACCACTTTGATTGCATTTAGCTTAATACAATGACTTGCATTCTCTTTGTTCATTAGCACTCAGGATTGGATTGACATCTAAAATACTACATTAAGTTGCTCTAAAGCTTAAAAACTCTTATCAGTACCTCACCTAAACAACATCACAAGTTCCAAGATATAGCTCATGCTTGGTTGTTTCTCTGTTACCATTCAGGCTATAAGGGTTATAATCTGCTTGATATTCAAAGTAACAGCATTTTCATCTCAAAAAATGTGGTGTTCCATAAGACTTATTCCCTTTTTTTTCAAGGTTCCATGCCTACTGGTTATAAGGATTATTTCCTCGGATTTATGTACCTACAAAGCCATCTACACCTGAGTATTGTTCTCATTCTCCAGTTATTCCTTGTGAAGTTCCTTCCCACAAAGAGGGTTTCTAAACCACCAAGTCATCTTAAAGATTATTAATGCTCATCTGCAGTTTCATCAACAGAACACCCTATCTCTAGTGTGGTGTCTTATGCAGCCCTCTCAGATCCATACACTGATCTTTATCACTGCTCTAAATAGCATTCATGAACCCTCTTCATACACTCAAGCTTGCAAGATTAAGGAATGGTGTGATGTTATGGGTATTAAAATCACTGCTTTTGAGGATAATGATACATAGATTATTTGTTCTTTATCAGGAGGGAAGTAAGCAGTGGGTTGTAAATGGGTTGTCAAAATCAAACTCAATGCAGTTGAGACTTTTGAAAGATATCAAGCGTGTCTCGTTGCTAAAGAATACACTCAACAGGAAGGTTTGGATTCTGTTGAGACCTTCTCTTCAGTGGCTAATTTATCTACTGTGAAACTTCTTATTGCTGTCGCAGCTGCAAAGGGTTGGTCTCTCCCCCAACTGGACATATCTAATGCTTTTCTTAATGGAGATTTAGAAGAGGAAATCTATGACTCTCCCACCTGGGTACTCTCCAAGACAAGGGGAATCTTTCCCATCTAACACTGTTTGCAAGATCAAGAACTCTCTATATGGACTCAAACTAGCATCTCGCCAATGGTTCTTGAAATTCTCTTCCTCTTTACATCAGTTGTGTTTCAAAACTTCCTCTGGTGATCACACTCTCTTCATCAAGAATTATGTCAATGTTTAAATGGATGTATTAGTCTATGTTGATGATATTATAATTGCCAGTAGTTGTGATCATGCTACGGAACTCCTAAAAAATCTCTTTGAAGCTTATTTTAATCTCATAGACTTGGGGACCTTTCGTTACTTTTTGGGACTAGAGATAGCTTGCTCTTCTGCTGGGATTACTCTTTGTCAACATTAATATATTTTTAATCTTTTGACTGAGACTGGTTTACTTCGCTGCAAACCAGCTTTGATTCCTATGAATCCCAGTGTTAAACTATCTAAGGAAGATGGCATTTTATTGGAAAATCCTAAGGTGCATCGTCGCCTGATAGGGAAGCTTTTGTACCTGACATTTACACGACATGTCATTAGGTTTGCAGTACATAAATTAAGTTCGTTCATTGCTACTCCTCGCGCTCCTCACTTCCACGCAGCTTACAAAATCTTACACTACTTGAAAAGAACAGTTGGTCAAGGTCTTTTCTACTCTTCTAGCTCTGATCTGAAACTCTATGTATTTGCTGATGCAAATTGAGGCTCTTTCCCTGATACTCGCCGCAGTGTTTCTGGACTTTGTATATTCGTTGGCTCTGCTCTTATTGCTTGGAATTCAAACAAACAAGATACAGTCTTGAGTTCCTCTGCAGAATCCGAGTATCGAGCTATGTCTGAAGCTGTTCGAGAAATTATATGGTTTCGTAATCTTCTTGAAGACCTTTGGGTTATGAATCCTGGCCATGTTGCTCTCTATTGTGACAATACTGTTGCCATACACATTGCCAATAATGCTGTCTTCCATCAACGGACCAAACACGTAGAGCGTGATTTTCATATTGTCCTTGAACGAGTCGTCTCAAGAATGATCAAAACTCTACATGTATGTTAAGAGAATCAGTTTGCTGACATTTTCATAAAACCTATATACCCAGGTCCCTTTCGTCAAATCTTAAGTAAGATGGAGTTCATCAATATCTATGCTTTATCTTGAGGAGAATATTGATTTATATAGAATTTGTATTGTATTCTGGTTTAGTTAAATGCCGTGTTAGAAAATTCGGGGGAGTGGCACCTGGAAAATCGCTACTCAAAACTTGAACGTCACGATTTTAACTAATATGCATCATTAATCACTTATAGATCAATCAGCTATTTAATTCAACTAATCACTATTTAATCGAATTAATTACCGATTTAATTCAACTAATCACTATTTAATCGAATTAATTACCGATTAAATGACAAAATTAAACTGCTATACGTCTTTTTTTTCTAAAACAAAAAATGAAAAACTGATGTGTCCGGTAGTTGAACCCAAAACATAATAGCTGTTTCCCTTCAATGTTTACACTAGGCTACGTAACTTTGTTCGTATCATTTCCATAAATCAATAAATATATCTAGAAGTATCTGAAACTAAAGAAAAATATTTATAAATTACTCCCCGATTGATCTCCGAATTTTGGTCAAGTGGTTAGGCATGACTCGACCACCCGATTAACGCCTAATGTAGTTTTGAACATTGCTTAAATGTACTTATTACATCTGGTTTATCCCGTTTAGCAGATTAAATCAAGTGTATATAATGATTCATTTGTCACACATTAATGCTAACAGAAAGTATTCTATTTTTTTTTTCTTTTTCTCTCATGAGATCATCGTTTCTTCATGATTCCTTGAAAAAAAAACTACATTTTCTGTTCATCCAAATCACTAAAAGCAAGAGTTTGTATCTATCTCCTTAAGCTTATCACTGAAGTTAAAGTATGGCGTTAGATGAAGAACTTTGAAAGATCGGCGGTGAGAACAGAAAGGCGGGCGGGCAAAGAGTTTCAACCTAATCAATGAAAGAAGAGCAAGGTCATCGGTCCTGCAGTGTTACCGGCGTTACCAGCGGCGCTTCCTTTAATCCATAAACGTCTGCCATATTGAAAAGCACGTGTTATTAATCCTTATATTCTGTAGGGCAAACGAATGGCTTAATTTATATGGAGTGGGTTGATCCTTATATTCTCTGAGGAAAAATTTACGTTTAGACATACTTTTCTTTGGACCTATATCACGTTGACATACTTTGAGCATGTCAAGTACTTTCTTTTGTTCTTTTGTCTAAATTTCCCCCATAACAAAAATAAGTTTAGCTAGAATTAAAAAAAAACAAAAATAATATTATGTTTTTATCTTTCATCGTCCCACGAGTAGTATCCCCTCCCAACAACCACTGTCCCACTATCCAACAAACCTATCAATTAATGGAGACAGAACGAACTAAAAAGTTACTCTCATTAGCAAAATGGACATTAATGTAAGACCACAACACAAGGGAAAGTCCAGAAGTACACCTCTATTAAAAAGTACCTAGCATGCTAAAGACCCAAAGACAAAGTAACCCAATATGTAACCTTCTCTTCTCTGAGCTTATGCCCTTTAAACTTGGAAAATTGATAAAAAAGAAAAAGATTTACATTTTTTTTTATATTATTCTTTTTTCTTTTAACATTTAGACCAAAAAGAGAAACTAGAACAGAGCAAGAATGCGTCATCGTAAATCATAATCCAGAGCCCTCCAGAAGCTCCAATCCGTTATACAATATAGGTAAAGTGAACCGAGGGTGTTCAAAGAAAAAAAAAAGGTAAAGTGAACCGAACTGAACCGAAAATAAATGTCCAGGTATTAACTCCAAACTGTGGTTCTTTTCGGTTTGATTATAATAAATGATTAAGAGTCTCTAACGCAGCTAGAGGTTTTTGTGGGCAGAGGTGAGTCAAGTGTGTGGCGACCATTGGTCTCTGGTAACGAGTGGCAAATATCAGAAAGCAGCACGAACATAAAAAAAATATCTTAAAATTCGATCTAAAAAGAGATAAAAGAATATCAGATTTCAGGAAGAAGAAGAAGAAGAAAAAAGCTTTCGGTTTTGTGTTCCCATCGATCTTGAAAGACTCAAAACTTGTCAATGAATCCTCAAGCTGTTTCGTGTAGCTTCGGCTTCGTTTCTGCTCCACTTGTTGTCTCTCCCAGAACTTCCCGATTCGTAATCCAAGCCAAATGTAAGAACTTTAATTCAGTCTTCGAGATATTGATAATTGGTTTTTTCGGATTCATTATCTTCTTGTTGTTTGTGGGTTTGATCTGCAGCGGAACCATCGGAGAAATCAGTGGAGATTATGAGGAAGTTCTCGGAGCAGTACGCTCGTCGCTCAGGGACTTACTTCTGTGTTGACAAAGGAGTCACTTCTGTCGTCATCAAGGTTTCATAATTAGTTAACCTTTTAAAGTTCCCAACTTTCTTTCTTGTGGAATTGTTCGTCTGAGTGCTGATTCTTTGTTCAAAGAGGAGATTGCTTCTTCGAATTGTAGATAGTGACTTGCCAGAAGAGATTTTAGTAAAACTTATCTTGATTTTATACAGTACATATTTGAAGTCCCAGGTGGAATTGTGTTGGATAGGTGGTGGTGGTGGTGGTGTTGGTCTAAAGTTTCCATCTTTTTTTGCGTAGATTATGAACTACTTGGAGATAAATTGAGTCTTTTTCTTGAATCTGTGCAGAAGAAATTGAGTTTTAGTTTTGATATCTAGTGCTTATCAAACAATGAAGTGCATGACTTTTCTTCTCTGTATTAGTGAATGAATCTGAAGTTTTTGAGTTTGTACTAGTGAACATCTTGAATTCTAGTGCTTTACTAACCAAGTGGCCAAGTTTTCTAGTTGTGGATAATTAATCTTGATCTATTTAACCGAAACTCTAACCTCTGGTTCTTCTTTCTGTTTAACATCTTGTGTTCAAGCGTTTAACTAACCAATTGACTAAGTCTTCTAGTTGTATAATAGTGGTTCTACAGAAGAGACTGGTCAATGCATGTGATGAACATCTACTTCTTATCTAATGAAAATGTCTATTTCTGGGAACAGGGTTTGGCTGAGCATAAAGATTCGTATGGTGCTCCGCTTTGTCCTTGCAGGTGATCTTTTTTTCTCCTGGGTTATCATTATTTTTAAGAGCATTTTGATATTTCTTTTAATCAACCCCAATATGTCTGATATTTGTTATTTTTGGTGTAGACATTATGATGATAAAGCAGCTGAGGTTGGGCAGGGCTTTTGGAACTGTCCTTGTGTTCCAATGAGAGAGAGGTAAGACGTAGCTCCATGTCATTCTGCGGTGTGTGTTGACGATTTATTCTGATAGTACTAAAGTTTTTATCATTTGTGCATCAGGAAGGAGTGCCATTGTATGCTTTTCTTAACTCCTGATAATGATTTTGCCGGAAAGGATCAGGTAAACCTCAAAAATCAATGTTACTTCAAGCTTGAGATTCTGTTTCCAATGTAAGCAAACCGACTTAATAAGTATTTTCCCCTTTCTCTTCATCTGTTTTGGTGCAGACTATTACGTCAGATGAAATCAAAGAAACAACAGCTCACATGTGAGAACTGATTCAGAGAGAAATGTCTCACTCACTCACCAATGCAGCCTGTACATTGATACCCATCATCTTCTTCTCTTCTTCGTTCTTCTGTACAACTATTTCCCTTGTCAGATAAATACTGTCTTTAGTATGATCTTGTTTTTGCAAATGATTACAATGATATAAAAGGATCTTACTTTATGTTTAAATCTTCAGTAAGCATTCATGAGATATTTGTTACTAAGAGGATTTAACTGATTATGAAATAGAAACAGGGCATGCTTTACCACACCTCAAAGCCAAGTTTTCCATTATTCGTCGGAACATGCAGTATTTATTAGTCTTTTTTAGCTGACATGTTCTTCCTAAGAAAAGTTGACTTTGAGTACACAGTTCTTGCAAATTACTCTGTCAATGTCAAAAAACATTCTGAACTCGCTTAACTCAGCTTCTTGTTCTTCTTGGGATCAGTCTCCAGATCTTTCAAGTTTCGCAGGCAGTGATCTGACACTTGTCTGAATCATATCTTGTTGTCCGATAAATAATTTAGTATGATCTTCTCCCTTATATTAAACTAATCAAACGAATACTTAACTATCTATCAAAACGATCTCATGAGCGATCGCCATAGAAGTAGTCATGTCGTCTCACATACATATTCATCTAGCATAATCTACTCAAACCTGTGTCTGTTTATACTTCTCTTTGCTTCCTCTTCCGAGAGGATAACTGCCTCTCCTCCATTCTTCTGCAGCACGTAAACTTTCCACTCCAGATTTGGGTACTTATCATATGTTTAGTAGAAAGTGTCATGTTATCTTTCCAACATAGCTAGTGAGAGTCCAGTGTGTATTTGGACCAAGCACTGATCTTTACACGGATGTAACTCTTTTGAAAACAAAACACAGAATACGTGTGATCTTTGTTATAAACTGCTAACTTTGGTACAGTGAGAGACAGAGAGAGAACTAACGTAAAACAGAAGCAACTCCAATGAAAGGATCTGATGTGACAATTAACAAGAAATACATATCATAAGTGTTTCACACATGTTGAGAACAAAAAGAACTAAAAGATATGCATCAGAAACAATCTAATAGGGTAGAAATAAGAACCATATCATTCAAACAAAACCATAGGTTGGATTAACATATCGACCAAACTTTGCAATTTTTACATCAAAATATAGAACAACTGATTACGAGACATATATTGTTCCTAAAATAAGAATAACAAAAATTCATTACAAGAAGGAGAGATGAATCTTTGCATGAGATTATCTATCTTATGAGAGAACTCTAGCTAGGGTTTAGCTCTTTAATGATTTTCTTGGTGATCAGTTCAGATCCGTAAGTTCTGGAAGAGATTCTCAACTCTGACTTCAGCTTTCTTGGCTTTGATTCTACACTTCATGGCTTTAATTTGAGCATCGAACCTCTCAATCCTCTCCGATAAGGCTTTGGCCATCATCTTCTTCTTCATCAGAGGGCCTCTCGCGAAATCATCATGTGAGAACTCCAACTCCCCAGGGCCCTTGACGACAGTTTTGAAGCCATGAGAACGAAGCTTTGCAACAAACTCTGTTAAGTTTCTGCCCAACAATACTCCAGAGGATGATTTCAGAAGGATGTTTGTGCGAAGCCTTTTCATGTCCCAAACGATGAAACTGTTGTTGTTTGTTTTGCTCCAAGAGATGATATGATCCGATGAATGATCATCCACAATCTGATATAGCTGGACGTACAAGGAAGAAGAAGATTCCGTTGAGAGTTTGCGACTCATCTTCTTTGATCGAGTTTGGAAACACTAGAGATTGGGAATCGAGAAGAAAAATTCCAGAACTGAATACGAAACAAACCCTAAACCTCAGAGAGATAAAACAGAAATCGAGAGAGTAATAAAAATAAGGGAAACTTTGTGAGTATAGCTCTTTGGTGGAAGCTAGTAACTTTATATAGAGAGAGAGATTGATTTCAACGGTCATGTGATTAAATTTTCCTTTTTTCTGTTTAAGCAATATTTGACGGTTAAGATTTGATAAGGAAGTTATCAACGGTCATAAAATACAAAGTCGGTTTTGACATCAATTTTGTTTTGCCGTGCGTCTGTCAGAAAACAAAGACCGGCACCGTTTCATCCCTGCCAAGCGAAGCGCGTGATCAAACGTTAAACGCAAAATGCCCAGTTTTAATGGTTGTGTTTCAGTTCTCTACAACCCTCCTTCCATTATTGCGCCAAATTGGAGGAGAATCTTGCTTCGACTTATGAACTCTATATCCTAAAGAAACTGGGATTATCTGATTTTCTTTAAAAAAATTGTACTTTTTTTTCTTGTTTATTTATAAAGGATGGAAGAAAATTTGAATTGATATTGAAACACTCTGCTGCAACTGGAAGGATATACTTAAAAAGTAAAAACGTTGGTCTTGATTCAAAGATTTGGAGGGAGACAGAGGCCTAAAATCAAATGGCTCTGTTTTAACTAAGCCAATTAGTTTCTTGATCTTACTGAGGTCTCGTTGATGTCTCCATCAGCTTCTCTCTCCTCTTGACTTTTATCTTTTTTATTCTTCCATCAATTTCCCTATTCGAATTATATTTTCACTTTGCTTTGGATGAAGAAGAATGATGTTTTAAAATCCTTTCAACATAGCAAGTGAGAGTGAGGTGTATAAGTAGTCTTTGTTATAAACTTGTAAGTTTGGTGTTTTCTTTTGGTTGTTATATATAAAGTAGTGAGAGATAAGTAGCACCTGAAGCTAGGGTTGCTACCCATACACATAATGTTCTGATCATAACCACCATAAGGCATCAAAAGGTAATGTAACCCAGATTCTTGTACCGTTGAGTGATCAGAAAGGCAAAGATGTTGAAAGTTGTTGTTTTTCTGATCATAAAGACAAGACACTTGTGGGGAATTGGTGACGTGGCTAGGGTTCAAAGATTTTTGATGATCCTCCAAGTTTGCTTTTCCCTCAAGAAAACGACGTCTTTCTTGCAAACTAGAGTAACTTAGTTCCGAAGCCTGAATTAGTTGATTGATTGATCGGGAGAGTAATGATTGAAGACTGGATACTTTAATTCTTCATCAACATCCTTCTTGGCTTTCTTCTTAAAACTGGTCACCGTCTTCTTGTTGAGGAATTCGTAAAGATTGACGCTTTTCTTTCATCTCTTGGCTTTGTCTAATTGGATGTATCGGAGAGCGAGGGATCTCACTTTGTCTCTGTCCTTGGGCCATGTCTTGAGTTCGCCGTCTGGTCTGTAATGAATGACGCAGGCTTCGATATCTCAGAGAGTTGTAAGTTCTTGAGCTTTCTCGAATATCGTCAAGAGTCTGCTTTTCAAACTCATTTCAGCAAGTGAATAACCAGAAGAAGAAGAAGAAGAAAGAGGTGGTTGCATGGTGGCTTTTCTTGTTTATCTCTCGCACACGATGGAAAAAAATGAAATTGTCGTGAGAAACTTTGTTAATTGGTGTGTGGTGAAAAAAAGAAAGATTTACTTCTGAAATTATTTAGCCGTTGAGGATTGTGAAAAAAGGAAAGGTTTACTTCAGATTTTTTTACCGTTTACTCTCTCCTCGTTAATGAAGACAGTGATGCCATGTGCCTTTAGATTTTGTTTGATTTGTTTTTAGTAGATTTTTCGCATAATCTCTCGGTTGAGTGTAAGGATACGTAATTTATTTTATTTCTAGTTTAACCCGATTTATCCGATAGAATTGTACGTTTTCACTCAAGTTAAATTGGGTTGGTCGTTTAAAAACCCGAGATTGTTAACGGGAAGAGAGGACTAACCCTAAATTGTTACCGTGTTTTCTTGGATGGTAGTGTGAGGTTATTAAAAATATGACATGCAAGTTTAGAGATTTTGAAAATGTCAATAAGGATCTCACCACTTTAGCTTAATGACAGTTGATATAAATCGAACCACATGAGTTAGGTGAAAAGCGGCTTTTAATCAAGTATAATCTATACTATTATTTGCGAAGTGATTTTTCGCAATGGAGCTCTCACGTTAAAAGTTGGAGTGGTTAATATCGATTATACCCTTAATGAATAAATTATATAAATTAATTATATATAAAAACGAATTTTAATTTATTTTATTAGATAATTTATTTTAATCAATAACAATAAGATTTATCCAAAATCAAAAAATATATTTTATTTTAAAAAGATAATTCCTATATATATTGTATTGTAATCTGAAACTATCTTTTCATAAATATTTAAAAATTCAAAAACAGAAAACAATAATTAAATATTTATTAATTAAAATTCTTAATTTTATATATCTATACTATTATTTGCGAAGTGATTTTTCGCAATGGAGCTCTCACGTTAAAAGTTGGAGTGGTTAATATCGATTATACCCTTAATGAATAAATTATATAAATTAATTATATATAAAAACGAATTTTAATTTATTTTATTAGATAATTTATTTTAATCAATAACAATAAGAGTTATCCAAAATCAAAAAATATATTTTATTTTAAAAAGATAATT